AGGATGTTTGACAGCAGCACTCCCAGCAGAGAACAAACTGATCTGAGAGTGGCTGCTCTTTGTTTCTCTGTATTTGGGAGAAAAATGAGGACATTTCTTAAAAGCTTGGACATTCTTAGAAAGACGAGTGGGGACATTTTCAAAAGTGGAGACACTTACTGTGAAAACTGAGGACATTTTTTTTTAAGTCAGGACATTTATCAGATGATAAATTGTGGACCTTTATTGGTGAAGACATTTTCGAATTTGAGGAGATTTTTGACAATAATATTATTTAAAGGGCCAGTGTGTAAAATGGGTTGAAAACAGTGACATCAGTGGTCAAATTCTAGATTGCAGGGCTCACTCGCTCACCCCTCCCGTCCGGTAAATGACGGTGGCCTTGTAGGGACAAAAAGCCTTGCGCACAAGTTTTTCAGGAGTAGGTCTATCTAGCGACGAGGTGAATGTTTATTTAGAAATCTAAACCATGTTACGATATTGTAATGAATCACTCACGAGCAGGAGACCAGAGGAGCGTTCGGGAAAAAGGCCCGTTTATTTGAGCACTCCAGAAACTCCAGTAACACTCCAGGGGGTAAAAGACTCCGTCCCAAACTCTGACTCTTCTAGCGTAACACACACACTTCATACACACATACTCGTTTACAATACCTAGCGGGCACCCCCTCCCCTCTCTGCGCCACCAATCTCCAGCCCGCACACTGACTGACAGCGTAGCCGGTAAACAGAGCTCAGCTGTTTATTTAGCCTAGCAATATCTCCGGACTATAGTAGCTGCAATGGACGACTTTGAACGCGATTTTGAAGAGTTTCTTGTAGCGGACACAGACCCAGAGCCATACCTGTTTGAGCCGGAGCATACAGATGAGGAACTCCATGTGTTTGATGCTGAGCGGGCGAGAAGAGAGGCTGAATGCACAGAATGGGATTCGGTGCTACTGCTGCCATTGTTGGGGAGATATATCACCAGGAGGAAAAGCGCCGCAGAGAGTGCATCACAAGGAGTGAAGTTTCGTCTTCTTTTCCTCGCAGATGACGGTTCGGGTTCATTCTCTCCTGTTGCGTGGTAAGTGTGGTCCATTCGCAAACTTTCTATCAACTCTCTATCAACGAACTACTAACACTCTGCTGTTTCCTCCTCCTTCTTCCTTCCTTCCGCTGTCTTCGTTGGTTCATTTATACACATGAAACGCGTTCTCTGGCTGGCTGGATTGTCCGCTCGGGCTGCCGTACATAGATGGCGGCGCAAGATGGCGACCTCTCTAAAGCAAGGCCCTTGCTACATATATATATATATATATATATGTATATATATAAAAGCATAATTATAAGGCTACGAAAACCAAACAAATTTTATTTTATAGCGATTATACACTTGTATAAACATATTAATGGGTAGAATATTCAGATTCAGATTCAGATTGACAATAAACCATGCCAAATATTACACACTGGCCCTTTAAAAAAATGTTGACATTTGGGAAAAGTGAGGACAGTGAGAAAGTGAGACAAAATGAGGGCCTTTATTGGTTCATTGGTACATTTTGGAACTTGAGGACAATAACAATTTTTTATCAAAAATTATGAACAATTTTTCCAGATATGAGGACATGGGACATTTTTGGGAATTCTCAGTGTTTTGTGGAAAATGAGGCCTTTTTAAAGTTCTGTCTTTTTTTTTCTTTGAAAAGTGGAGACATACGGTCATTTCTGTAAAATGATATTTTTGGAAAGTTAGAGGACATTTGTCAAATAAGAGGACATTTCTAAAAATTTTGGACATTTAGGAAAAGTGAGGACTTTTTAGGTGGACACATTTTAGGAACAACTACACTCTTGAGAAAATGTGGACATTTGTTGCTTCAGACTTTCTGTAATTTGGGGACATTTGCAAAATGTCTTTTAAATTACAAACGTTTACGTAAAATTAAAATGTTACTCTAAAGTGAGGACATTTTGAATGTTGTGGACTTTTTTGAAAAGAGAAGAAACTTAAAGTGAAAATTGTGGACATTTGTTGGTAAAACATTTTGGAATTTGAGGACATTTTTGACAATTATATAAAAAGTATGAACATTTTTGGAAAATTGAAACTTATTTTTTCAAAGTAAAGACATTTTTCTGAACATGGGGTTTTTATTTCTTTAAACATAACATATATAAACAGACAGTATTACTTGTAGTTACATGACATCCAAAGGCCCGTGATAAATACTTCAGCCAAAATAGACAGTCAACCATTATAGTGATATCAGTGCAGCCAGTTAGATCATCACAGTGTCACAGCAGTGTTACAAGCAAGAAAGCGGTCCCATGACCTCTTAAAGTTCTCAGTATCATCATTGATCTTAGCCAACATGTGTTCATATGACACAACCTCTAGCATTGATTCCATCCATTTTTAATATCTGGAGAGGATGTACTTTTCCACAATCTGAGGATCATTCGGTCAGCTGTGACCACCCCTACCTTTATCACTGCAAGGTCGTATTTTGGTATATTGGGTAGCTCTGTTTGGTCCTCCAGTAGGCATAATCTTGGCGATATGGGTATCGTTGAACCCACCCACTCCCCTATGTATTTTAGTATCTTTCCCCAGAATGGGTTAACAAGTTTACATTCCCACATTGCATGTAAAAATGTCCCTGTTTGTGTCTGCCATTTCCAACATAGGTTATTAACCATTAAACCCATTCTGTGGAGCTTAGAAGGGGTAAAATAAAACCTATGTATTATCCTATACTGAGTAAATTTCCCCCTAGCCTCCTTTATGTATTTCCCAGTATTTGATAATATTTTTAGCCAGACCTCTTCACTCAGGTCACACCCAAGGTCCTTCTGCCAGATGGTCCTAAGATTTTTACAAATATCTTTTTGTAATCCACTAAAGATTTTGTAAAACACAGCTGCCCTGTGTGCTATACAAGGCAGTTCCAGAAATTCCATCACTGGACTCTTGTCCTGAATAAACTGGCCCTTAGTTATACAGTCTCTAATCTGTAAGTACTTCCAAAAATTATCTGTACTTTCTAAATTATATTTTTGCTTAAGTTCAGAAAAAGAAATAAACACTCCGTCCAAATTTAGGTCACCTATCTTGTGTATCCCTTTTATAAGCCATTCATTCCAACAGACAGTCCTTTTCCCGATCCGTATGGCAGGGTTGTGTCATATAGAGGCATATGATTGTCTTAAGTGCGACACACCACACATCCTGTGTACTTTTCTCCAGACTGTCTTAGAATGAGCCAGTACTGGGTTTGAAAAGCAATCCTGTCCATTAGTAGTTGAACCATGTGAAAGAATTTCACTGCTTCCTCATCCCCTATTACATGCGTCTCCTGAATAAATGCTATATCTGTATTTTTGGCTTTCAAATATGCCAAAACCTTCCTCCTTTTAATTTGGTTTCCACATCCATTTATATTCCATATTATATTAATGTACCTGTTAGCCATACTTTTCAAGCTTGTAAGAGTACTGTGGTTGTGACTGCCATTTACTCATCATAGCGTTATTTTATTAACAAAACAAATATTCTTCAAGTTATCCAAAACATTATCAGGCCTACTCAGATATACTGTCTTAGTGTAAAAATCAAACATAAACAAAAAACACAAAACACAAAAACCCTCAAGCAAAGCAACACACAACATGCTGCTGCTAAGCCATCACCTCCCGTCCTGACTGAACATGGACTAAACTAAACAAACTTTACTCGGTCCGTGAGGCTCGTTGGCGGTTACCTAGGCAACACAACCCTCTCGGCCCCCAACAAACCCATCAAAAAAGTTACCTTACTTCCAAAGATTCACATACACCTCGCCATTTTTCAGTATCGAGTCCCATGGTCCTCTATTTAGCATCCTGCATGAACCTCTCCACCTCCTTGCTATCTCGGAATGTTTTCTTTTGTCCTTTCCATGTAAAGATAAGTGTTGCAGGGTACACCAGCCAGTGCCTCACGTTAAGCTCGTGCAAACATCTCTTCATGGGAATAAAGGCCTTTCTGTTCTCCGCCAGCTCTCTCATCAGATCCTCAAAGAAAGACAGCTTACAGCCCTCCCACTCGATTCTGCGTTTCTCCTTAGCCACCTGTAGCACCTTGTCTCAGGCTGATGAACGTATGAAGCGCATCATTATGGTCCTCAGCAGTTGATCTGGGTTTGGCATGGGGGCGAGAGAGCGATGGGCACGTTCAATCTCGAATTTGTTACCGGTGAGACGGAGCACCTCAGAAATAATCCTCTCCACATACTGTATCACTTTGCCCGTCTCCTCTTTGCCTTCTTTCAGTCCCACCATCCTGACATTATTCCTCCTGCTCCGGTTTTCGAGGTCCTCCACCTGTGCCCACAGCGTTTCCAGTCTCTTGCCACATTTATCCACATTTTTCTCCATCTCTGCATTTGTGTCCTCTATGTCCGATATCCGTTGTTCTACCTCTACAGGTCTTATCTGGATGTTCTGCACCGAGTCTTTGAGCTCCTTCGTTGTCTCCTTAATTGAGACTACATCCACTGCCACCACCTGTAGAGTGGCGTTCATCTTTCGTATTTCCTCAAACATGTTTCCATCGTCATTCTTCCTTCCAGCGGTAGTATTGTCGGTTTTGGGTTTACTTGGTGGAGGGCTTCTTTCTGACGTCTTTTGAAAAAGTTTGCTCCGCTATTGTTTGCCATTTTTCCGTGAGGCTTCAAGTTGTCGGTGGGATACTGATACTAGCACCACTTTAGTAGAGGACACTGATATTCTGCCAAAAAGCGAAGTGTATGTTTCCAAATTTATGTAATTAACTGATGGTTGTCAGAAGCTCTCCTAGTGTGCTGCCATCTTTCTCGGCGGTCCCACGTGACTCCGAAAATATGACATTTTTGAAAATGATGACGCCTCTGTTGAAAAGCAAAAGATAAAACAAATATCAGCAACATGTGACGAAGACCAAACCCAGAAACAGTTTCATTGACCTGCTTTTTTCTGTCTGTTTTTATCTGCAGAGTTTTTAAGAAAGCCAGTCCCAATGGAAAGGTGAGTTCTCTTCTTGTGTGTGTTCCACCTCTTCAAAAATCTGAAGGGAAACCATTGAATTTAAATTCTTATAAAAGTATCTGAACACCCAAAAAAGATTAACAGACACCCCAAAAATATATGTGAACATATGTGAATATGTGTGAAAGAGTCTGGACCTTAAAGTTGCTTTGAGGAGATTGACTGTTGTTTCTGATTGGCTGTTGGATATACTGATAGTTGATTCTGATTGGCTGATCTGACCGCTGCGGTCCTCCCTCAGCTCACCGTCTATCTGGGAAAGAGAGACTTTGTGGACCACGTGGACCTGGTGGAGCCTGTCGGTGAGATCAGTTCTTTACTCAGATTTATTTTTTTTGTTTGTTTTTATCAAACTGTCAGAATAAATTCCCTGAGCTGAGGTGTCCCTCTGCTGTTGGCTACTCTTTCATATCAGCTGATCTGAGTTTATGGTTACGTCGCCCGTCCTCTTGCTGCTTGTTGACTGTTTTTTTCCTGCAGACGGTGTTGTCCTGATCGACCCGGAGTACCTGAAGGAGAGGAAAGGTGAGACAACCTCCAGGAGGTTAAATATTCTCAGTTGATGCACTTTAAAACATGTCATGGGCAGTGACTTGTGGCGTCAGACAACAAACACACTGTCACCGTGGAGGCCGATGTTCACTTCCTGTAAGATTGTAAAGCCAAACCCTGTTCTTTTTCCCTAAACCCAACCACGTGTGTGAGTTGGCTAAATGTAACCATGTGTGTGTGTTGTTGAAGGAAAACATGTAACACATGACGTAGTGCTTTTATTTTGAAAGAGACTGTATGCAAACTGTACATTTCCTGTGAAAACAGAAGTGTATTTTGAAAACAGACAATGCATGTAACAGGCTGAAGTTGACACGGCGTCCCAGAACGTCAACAACCAACACACCCAGGGTACCTTGGACGTCATATGTGGAGGTGGAAAGTCCATGACCAAACGTGGACATGTGACGAGGTCACAGTGAGGATGAGTTGTAATATTTTACCAACAGATGCTTCAGCTGGGGAATATATGTCACTTTTTGTTTGCCTAAAAGTTGCCAGATTTAAGTATGGAGTCTGTAAATACTCTCCAAGTTTTTAATCCTAGAGAATGACTCCTATGCAGTTTCGCTAAAACAGATAAATTCCTGGCAAAAACACAGAGGACATGACCTCTGTGTTTTTGTTTCCTCAGTGGTAGCTGGAGCCAAGACTCCTCTACGTCCTCCATCCCCTGTGGCGTCCCTCAGGGCTCTTTACTCAGTCCAATCATTTTCTCCATTTATATGCTCCATAAGGTCATATTATCCAAACACATAATTTCTCTTTTCACCGTTATGCTGATGACACCCCGATCTATCTATAATTACCCTTACAGCATCATAGTTACAACAAATTTACTATAACTGCAAATTAACAAGGAGAGCTGCAGGTGGAAGGTATTTGAGATCGCACTGGGTTGATTCAAAGCAATGAAAAAACCTTTGTCACTGGTTGCATATGTCTACAGAGCCACTTCTCCCAAGCAGTAATTTCTCCACCTCAGACTGTTTAATTTAAATACTTTTTAAAGTCTGAAGATGTAAAATTATCTATTAACCCTATGGGCCCGAACGACGCATCTATCCACATTTGTAGTCCGGCTTTCAAGATGCAAATATCTCCATATTGTCCAGTTGACACTCCATCAAACTTTGTATGACAAGACCAGCCACTTCACCTTTGCGCACCCAGACAACTGTAGCCTAATTATGCATGCATGACAGGGCCGTAGTCACCATATACACTGGGTGGGGACATGTGTCCCCCCAATGCCCAAAATGTCCCCCCAATATATAACTGAAACTGAAAAACAACAACAAACTTTGTTTACTGCAAACAAAGTGGCAAATATTATCTTGGAGGACGTCATTGCACTTGGTTGACTATTTTTCTATGATCTTAGATGTAAATATTGCATGTTTCTTTCAGATAAAACACATTTTTGACTTGTGAATGAGTCAATGGAATTTCTTGCAATAATGAAAAAATACTGGCAATCATGTCCGCCTGGCACAAACCACATGTTTTGGACAGCTGTGAAGTGACAGAATGTCCCACCATCATGGTTCTTATATTGCCAGATTCCAGAGAGTCTCCCCTCTTCATATATGGCAGAATATGTCAACTTCCAACTTGCTATGGTGAGATACATGTAAAAATGTAAGAATTTAGTCACACGGATTTGTTTTTTTCATTGATATAGAAATTAATATAAAATACAGGCACATAGAAGGACATGAAATGATGGCAAATCTGGTTAGTCCACATTGTCCTGAAAAAAACAAGATATAGCATGTGTATGTAGCCTTTATAATGACTGTGATATGAGCTTAAAAGTAAAGGCAGTAAAAATACCCCAAAAACGCCTAGGGCCCATAGGGTTAATTCACAACCAAAAGCAAACATTACACAGTTAAATGTTTTGAAGCACAAACATGTGTTTATCTTTTTCCTCATCCAGTTAAACGCCTCAAATTTATCTTCTGACAGTTCAGAGGATCCAAAACCCCTGCTCAGAGAATTATTTGGTTAAAGGAACGGTCCACCATTTAATCCTCTTTAAAAATTCTTGTCTTCTCCGTCTTTAATGAGTCATGGAGTTCCTCAGGGAACCGTCCTGGAGCCTCTGTTCTTTCCGTTAAAACATAGATTTAATGGAACATTTTAACATTAATAAATCTTGTTTTCTGTTACATTCCTGTGTGTCCACTACAGAGAAAGATCCAGAATGTGTTAGCCTAGCTTAGCACAAAATAAACTCTCAGCCTAGCCCATTTATTTTTTAATTTAAATAATATTTGGTATTGTTTGTAAATCTGGATGTGATTTCGTGTTTCTTGTTCCCATCAGTGTTCGTGACTCTGACCTGTGCGTTCCGTTATGGTCGTGAGGACCTGGATGTCCTTGGGTTGACATTTCGGAAAGACTTGTTTGTGGCGAACGTCCAGGCGTTTCCTCCACTGCCCGAAGAGAAGAAGAGCCTGACTCGTCTTCAGGAGCGCCTGATTAAAAAACTGGGAGAACACGCCCACCCGTTCACCTTTGAGGTACCGAGACATGTTGACCTGCTGAGCTGTGTGTTTTTTCATGAGTCATCTTCTTCATTAAGCTTCATGAGAGACATGTTGCCCTGAATTTATCCTGTCAGGCAGCGGTTGTCTCAGTGACCAGGTCAGTTTCAGGTCGGTAAAAATAGTTTCTGAGATTTCTTATTTTTTATAATTCAAGTTTTTATTGGTTTGGCATACATATAGAAACAGCAAGAAGCTCTCAGACTTTTCATGCCTGTGCACTGGCCACAGGCACAGGCCACAGGGTGGACTGGTGGGAGGAGTCATACAACCACAGGGTGGACTGGTGGGAGGAGTCATACAACCACAGGGTGGACTGGTGGGTGGAGTCATACAACCACAGGGTGGTGTTTCAAGTTTTCCTTCCTGTGTTTTCAGATTCCTCTGAACCTGCCATGCTCTGTCACCCTGCAGCCGGGCCCCGAGGACACTGGGAAGGTAAAGACGTGTTTGTTCATACAGTCTGCAGCTCCTGGCAAACACCTCATCCAACCTTCATGTCTGAAAATCAAATGAAAGAAATCAACTTCATTATTCCTCCTGCCATTCTGTGTCTTCAGGCCTGTGGAGTCGACTTCGAGGTGAAAGCTTTTTGCGCAGAAAATGTTGAAGAAAAGATCCACAAAAGGTAAAAGTGAGTGCTGACAGAAGAAAGAAATGAATTATGAATGAAAGTGAAATCGGTGCATCAGCAGCTTCCTGCAGAGAGAGAAGCGCTGCTCACAGGGGATAAAACCACAACCATCCAGAGTCACATCCACACTGAGTCCACATACCTTTCACTGAGTCAGTAAACACCCACAGTCACTATGAATTCATAGGTGTAGCATCAGTGTTGTGTTGCTGTTGCAGGAACTCGGTGCGTCTGGTGATCCGTAAGGTTCAGTACGCTCCAGAGAAACCTGGTCCTCAGCCGACTGCAGAGACCACCAGACAGTTCCTGATGTCAGACAAACCTCTGCACCTGGAGGCCTCTCTGGACAAAGAGGTAACACACACACACACACACACATACACACACACAGTGCAGAAGTGGAAAACAGAAGCTACAAAGGTTTTTTTTTTTTTTTACAGAAAAGATAAAACATCCAATCTGTTTCCCCGAAACTGTGGGCCAGTGGCATAATGTCACCAAGTAATGATACTATGTTACAGTACTTAAGTATTTTGGGGGTATCTCTGCTTTATTCAGATGAATGAAAGAATGGGAGGGAAGAAAAAATTGGATTTTGTTCTTTAAATCCTTTAAATAAATATAAATAAAGGGTCACACAGACCTCCATGTCATAGCCAACGGTATCCTGACTGCTGTCAGGTACTGGGCTGGGATGAAATCCTCAGAGCGACTGTCAGACCTTATGCTGGTGCAGAGGGCCCTGAGTTCCTCCTGGTGCAGTGGGCCCTGGGCTCCTCCTGGTGCAGAGGGCCCTGGGTTCCTCCTGGTGCAGAGGGCCCTGGGTTCCTCCTGGTGCAGAGGGCTCTGGGTTCCTCCTGGTGCAGAGGGCCCTGGGTTCCTCCTGGTGCAGTTGGCCCTGGGTTCCTCCTGGTGCAGCGGGCCCTGTTCACTTCATTGTTTGAGCAGTGTACGTCACCTCTCATTCATATTCGTTACCATTAAGCTGTTACACTTTGATACTGTGTGCATTTGTTGTTTTGCACCTCACTTACTGATATTCTGTTTTCATTTTCACTGTTTCCCACTTTGCTCGTCATCTTATCTGAGCTGAGACGGTGCAGAGGGAGATCAGTGTGGAATGCACTTGAAAACACAATTAGTGACGATATCAAATGTCTCATATTGATTCTTGTATTTAATTGAATTTCGCAGCACTCAGCGGGCGCACACTTTACATCCACTATTGTCCCTCTGTGGTACTAAGGCACTAATGAGCTGTCGAGATAAATGCCAGAACTTGATTTTTACAGCGCCACCATGAGGTCAGTGACAGTAAATAATGTGCCTGTGTCGTGAGGGGATTTTGAAACACCTGCTGGTTTTGGTGCCTTCTGGTCTGACAAGTTTAACAAAGAAAAACCAAGAAAATGAAAAAGAACGAGAACATTTAGTTTTCAGATCTGCTGCTTAGTGATGATTATGATAATTCTAATAATATGTTTCTCTTTCAGATTTATTACCACGGCGAACCGATCAGCGTCAACGTCCACGTCACCAACAACACCAACAAGACTGTGAAGAAGATGAAGATCTCAGGTACCCAAATGCACCTGTACTCTCTGTCTCTGTTGATCTGGGTATCAGTTTGTGTTATTGATCGATCGATTGGTTTGTGTTTCCACAGTGCGACAGTATGCTGACATCTGCCTGTTCAACACGGCTCAGTACAAATGTCCGGTGGCCACCGAGGAGTCAGAGTCAGTTTCATTTCTCTCTGCTGTGATTTAAAGTTCAGTCAGAAACCTCCCCTCAGGTCCAATCAGCAGCTGCTCTGGAGCTTTCTGCTGGTTTTCTTCAGTGGATTCAGTTTACCCAGCTGTCATGATAGATCTTTAAACCTTTAAAAACAGACGTCCCACAGATGGCCAAAGGATGTCATTGTTTTTATGATTCTGTTTAAATCGATTTAAACGTAAGAACCAGAACATCAACAGGGTTCATTATTTTAGCAGCAGGAAGCTAAAGTCGTGTTCACACCAAACACGTTGCCAATTTTCACATTGCCCTTATTGTGAACACGTGATAGTTCTTGCAACCACCAATTTTCCAAAATAAAACTTTTAATACATTTCCATGAGTTATCTGAACAGTATACATAATTCAGTTTTTGAGATCTGGTTATATTTATGAGCAGAGAGTTAAAAAGAGACAATGTGTAAGGCAAGGCAAGGCAATGACTTGTAAGGTAAGGTAAGTTGAGGTATGATAATGTTAGGTAATGTAAGGTCATGTGATGTAAGGTAATGTATGGTAAAGTAAGATAAGGAAAGGTAAGGTATGGTAAGGTAAGGTAATGAATGGTAAGGTAAGGAAAGGTAAGAAAAAGTAAGGTAAGGAAAGGAAAGGTAGGAAAAGGTAAGGTAAGGTAAGGTCATGATAATGATGACTGGGACCACCAACCTGCACCAAAAGTTTGGTGGTTGCTGGAACGCCAGTTTGAACGCCAGAATATTTTGTATAGACTCTCTTTATATGAACGAATAAGTCGCATCATAGGCGCATGTAACCGCTGAATTGATTAATGAACTTCCGCTAGTATATCCTCTGTGTCATATGTCCCCGGAGGATCTCAATGCTGATTGGCTTTCGTGGCGCAAATTAGTCGCTTAAGTTCAGATTTTTAACTCTCTCAAACAAGAGTATGATGCAAAATTGCGCTGCTTGCTTCATTCACAGTGCTTAATTTGAATATTTCGAATTCATCTGACCTTACCTTACCTTACTTTACCGTACCTTACCTTACCTGCCGTGCTAATGTGATAATTCACTGTCATTATGCCAGTATTTCCCGGTAATGGTGCGAGAGTGTTGTTTGCATAATCAGATCTGAAATAAACAGAACATCACAGGAACATTCGTTCTTCTTGCGGCAGGAAGTTCAGGCTTCTGTCATCCATGTTGTACTCATGTAATGACAGTTTTGTATTTTCTATGACATAATTTCAAAACAATTATTCTGGTTTATTAACTCACATAATCTTTTAGTTCGTGCTGTACAACTTTTAGGGGGCTGAAGCATTTGAAGATAGTCCAGGATGTGACATCACCATAACCAAACATATGACTGTAGTCTCTGTTGGAGTACTCTGTGAGTCAGTGAATCAAGTCAGAAGGTGATATCTGGGTTCATATTTCTGTCTTCAGTGACGTCGTTGCTCCCAGTTCGACTTTCTGCAAAGTTTTCACTCTCACGCCGTTTCTAGCCAACAACCGCGAGAAACGAGGCCTCGCTCTGGACGGGAAACTGAAGCACGAGGACACGAACCTGGCCTCCAGCACACTGTGAGTCCAACAGCACTCGTGATGCCTCCCAGGCCTGTAGGACAGAGGAAAATTGTCATCTGATGTTTTTAACCTTCGTTCTGACGGCTCGTTATTTTGAAACACCAACAGTCTGGAAAATGTCAGTTTGACAGCTCGGCTCGTACTCTCTGCCTTCATTGGTTGTGTTTAATCATGAAGAGAGACTGGTTAGGGTAAGAATATTAGGATAAGCCAATCAGAGTCAGAGTTAGGCGGGTCACGCCACCCTAAGACATCATAGAATCAGATATTTAATCGAACAAAACGTCCCCCCTGGTTGGGGTTAGGTAGTTTTTCATGCAGCAGTGATTTTACAGTGGCAGTGAAGACGTTATAAAGCTACCCATGTTTTCTCCACGGACACACGGCTGTTAGTCAGGTCGGAGTTCTGATGTTTGGAGCAGCAGGGTGGTGTCGCTGGGAGGTTATCGGACGTCAGTAATGAGGTATATACAGAGATGCTCCCAGTCAGTCCGGAAAAAGGGTGTGAAACATTTGGCAGTGCCTGTCGGTCATGAATCTTTCTATCTGCAGGGAGAGTCTGAGTTTTGTGCCTTTTTCCAGACTGTTGGGGTTTCGGAATGATCGACAACATCACAGCATTGACAGAGCTGAATGTCTGAGGAGAGTTCAGGGGACTGACTGGTTTATTGCAGATCTTTGGTAAAACTTTGGAAATGAAGAACTCAGGCTGGTTGATAACGTCATCTTCGCCTTCAATCATAAACAAAAAGTTTTACTCAGTTTCCTCCTCACCTCTTTCCTAACGACTACTCTCCTGGTTTTATGCATCCATATAATTAATCCCAGACTCCAGTTCTCCCTGTGAAAACTCGCAGTAAGGTGCCGTGTGCCGTCACCACACGAGGAAGACGAGTGAATCAACCTGAGTCCTGTATGTTTGCTGTGTCTATCAGGTTAAGAGAAGGAGCCAATAAGGAGATCCTCGGCATCATCGTGTCGTACAAAGTCAAAGTGAAGCTGGTGGTGTCTCGAGGCGGGTCAGTGCACTTTTTCTTTAGCTTATTGCCACATATAATCAGCTGAGAGGAGCTTTAAGGTCAAACTGAAATCTATAATTAGCCGAAAATTATTATGAGTATATCTGCTGGTTTTATATTAAAGTGGAACTGAGGGTCTCTTTGTCTTTGTATCGATGCACTGAGTCATTATAACAACAACAAAAAAATACTTTGTACGTTATTCTGTCGCCACACGTTACTCTCTGACTTTATCATTCTGACTTGATGTTTATACGTCATACTTTGTTTATCTCTAACTCTGTACGTTTTTCCATGACGTCAGACGTTACTCTGTGAGAAACAATACAGTAATGTGATCACAGTTTATATTTTCTTACACAAAAGGACAAGAAGTTGAATTTCGTTTTGAAGCTCAGTTTCAGTGTGAATCCGTAGTTCTGTTCCATCCTTCCCGTCGTCCGTCATAGTCCGCAGAGTTTCTGTTTTTACTTCTGTTTCTGGAGATAAAGTTCAGGAACAAAACCACATCTCAATACGATGATTTCCTTCCTGTCCTAATGAAGTCTACAGAAAAGTAATGTAGTATATTTCTTGCTGTAGTTTTTTTTTTTATTGTTTCAAAATGAAGTGGTGAAATTCACCCAGAGACGTGGATTCACTGATGATAATGTCAGTAAGAGCAGATGGTGTTCAGAGGGTGAACAGAAGGACGCTCAGATCACACAGCTGGTCTTTAACAGCTCCGTGACACAGAATGAAACACTGTGCTGCTGCTTTGAAGCTGACGGTGTTAAATGTTTATCGATTTCAGGCTCCTGGGAGATCTGGCGGCGAGGTAACCTTTCATGTTTTGTCACGTCACTGAGATCATGGATGAACACACTGATACAAACCACACTGAGATTCACAAAGGTCACCTGAACGTCTCACTGATGATGCTCACATAGATAAATGTCTTTAATAAAACTGCTGTGTGTTTTCTGTTTTACATCTGATGATTTGTTTTTCAGCGACGTCTCTGTCGAGCTGCCTTTCACATTAATGCACCCGAAGCCGCTGGAAGAATCCATCTACAGAGACGGTGAGCCATTTTTACAACCCACTCGTTTCTCTGTAGCTTCTGATTTTCTGTCTCTGAATGATAAAGTTCATAGAATTATTTTCATTTTTTAAATTTAAGATCTTTTTCACAGTTAATGATGTTATCAGCCCAGTCACAGGGACAAATGTTGGCATCGTACGGTTTTACAAACCAGCAGCACCCATACATTTGCACATCATGTAGCGGATATGTTGAAGCTTAACTTTTCAACAATGCTGTGATTAACGTCTGGTGAGGTTTAGGTACAAACCACTTGGTTATGGTCAGAAAAGATCATGTTTTGGCTTTAGATACCACTTTGGGTGGCACTGCCAGGACAGTGCCACCCAAAGTGGTGGTACAGCGTGGTGTTAAACAGTGTCTGCAGCTCGGCAGGCGTCTCTCCGAGGTGTCACACCATCCACCTTCCCTCCACCTGCTGATGACACAGTCAGCTCTGATACTACGTCACTTTAGAAATGTTGATATGATGCGTATGTAACATACAAATCTAAGGTATGTGTGCTTTGCAGAAACCTACCAACATTTTTACCATGACTGGGCGGAGCTTTTGTTTCAGTGAACCCTGATATGTGACAAGGGAAACATGTTTTAGATCCATCAGTCTCCTCTCAGATATAAAAGCATCCTTTGCACTTGGGAAGATCCGATATGTTTGATGCTGTACGTTCAGCTTTGATGCAACATATCTCATAACAGTGTTCCAGATATTTTGGCCTTTGGATGGTGCCGGCGCTGCGTGCACACATGTTGTAGAAAGCATGACTTTTAAAACGGTTAATTGGTTTTGCAGGATTGATCAATATCAACTTCCTGTCTGGTGATAGGATCAGATGATGAGATGGATTGTGTGTCTGCCCGTTTGTTTCCACAGAAATGAAGTGAAAGTGGTCGCTGCTGCAGGAAAATAAAAACAGTTTGGGAAATAATCAGCAGTTTGTAGAGGATGTAACACACATTCATTAGAGGTGAAACGACTTATTTATTTCTCTTGTTTTGGTGCAAGAACAATTCCTGTGAGAGGAAAAGTCAAAATAAAAGCAAATATGACAAAAGTCAAGAAACATAAATGACTTAAAGGGAAAGTGAGAAGAAGATAACAAGAACAAATATCATTCATAAGTACTTCATGTCTGAAAGGGAGTCGGAAGAAGTGAGTAGCCTTTATTAATATTTGATCAATAAACTCAACACTAGACGTGAATATTCCAACTTTATGTCCAACCAAACGATAATATGAAAACATGTATGTGGGCTGAGATGACAGAGCCGTACAGATCGGTATAAAGAATATTTGTTATGATAATCTGAAACCTGAGCAGTAATGTAATGTGTCTGTTTCTCCATCTCTGCAGCTCCTGATGAAGCTCCGATCGACACAAACCTGATTGAGTTTGACACAAAGTAAGCAGCTGTCTCTGTCCGTCTGTCCGTCCGTCTCTCCCTCCTCCTCAGCCCTGTGATGTGATTGGCTCTGCTCTGGTTTACGGCCCGGTCGATAACCCTGACAGCAGAGAGGGTTTTCCTCTCGGCCTGCTGAAGCATTAACTGTGATGGACTCGTCTCCGGAGTCTCAGCCTTAATGCGTCTTAATGTGAGCTGCTGCAGGAAATGGGCTGTAAACTGGAAACTCATCCTGCCGTCAGCAGAGCCTCCGAAAAACGACAGACAGTAACTCTGCGTTTACAGCTCATTATTTCACACTCACACAACCACAGGGAAACAACAGAGAGGAGTTTATTATTACTGCACAGATCATCTCCCCGTTGGCTCATTATCTGTTTCATATGAAAAAGATTGTACAGCTCAAATAAAGACTGAAGGAGTCCTGTTTGTCCCATTCAACACAACTTTATTTATTTCAGTGCATCATGTGAACACAGTATCAGGACAGGATGATACCCGACAGGCTGCACGTTATGGAAGGCAATATTAAAAAAGATAATTACACGAATAGATAAATAAATATGTGGCGATATAAATGTAGAATTATAAAAGGCTTTTTTTTATGTTTCTTTGTATTGTTATAAATGAACTTCCACCTCTCCTCTCCTCCCCTCCTTCCCTTCCTCCTTCATTCCCTCCTCCCTTCTTTTCCTCAGCGACGACGACATCATTTTCGAAGACTTTGCCCGCCAGCGGCTGATTGGGGCGAAGGATGACAAAGAGGAAGAGGAGGAGCCGGTGGACTCACCCAAACTGGATGACAGATAAAGGCTCGGAGTGCCGCCGCCACCACCGCTGCTGTTGTTGTCTCGCTGCTGTTCGTAGTGTGGAGCTGACAGAGGTCACCTTTAGGTCAAACCACAGTCTGGACACCTTCAAACACTCGGTGGTGCCGTGTTTGTGTTCTCGTTCATGTTCGTCCTCTCTGCGTCCTGCTGGGGTGTAAAAAGCTAGAATACCACAGCTTAGACGTCGGTCGTGTTTTCAGACGGAGCAGCTCTCCACTCCTTCGCCAGCTGGCCGGAGACCTGGACGGCAGCGTTGTATCGACGGCTGGTAGCATGCCTCTAATGTCACTTAGTTGTACGTGTTTCCATTAGGAACGAACAGGAATACCGTTGTGTTGAGATTAGTTTCGATGTGTCGTATCAGAGGGTCTTCATAAACAACAACAACACTGCCAACTCGGGTCGATCCGGACACTTCACCGCTCGGCGTGGACATCAGCTGACGGAGGTCTTTGTTCACAGGCGGTCTGCACGCAGACAAAGCTGCAGGACGTCCTGACAGAGAGCGCCACCAATCAGCTGAGAGGAACCGGTGGCCTCGTTTGCATGAAATACATCAGTACTTTATATGATTTATTAATATCATGAATAATCAACCTTTGTAGAGGACGGCCCGGATTTTAACCTGTTTGTTTACATGTTGATGTTTTTTTTAAAATCTTCATCAGTGTTTATCGTTCTTCCTTCACCTGCTGGTTCCACCTCATCTCACATAAAATCAACTTTCAGAGACGACAGACTTTTCTAACAGTCACCAGATAAATCATCTGACCCGTTCTCATCCCAACTCTTCAAATATGGCCGCTTTGTCAGTGGAGCTAAATGTCAATATACAACACTCTGGGTCCCTCCTGCGTCGTATTCACATGTTCATATACAGTCAGGTTCAGAAAAAAACATCATGGTTTGGCTTCAAATACATCAATCAATCAATTTTATTTATAAAGCCCAATATCACAAATCACAATTTGCCTCACAGGGCTTTACAGCATACGACATCCCTCTGTCCTTATGACCCTCACAGCTGATCAGGAAAAACTCCCCAAAAAAAACCCTTTAACGGGGGAAAAAACGGTAGAAACCTCAGGAAGAGCAACTGAGGAGGGATCCCTCTTCCAGGACGGACAGACGTGCAATAGATGTCGTACAGAACAGATCAGCATAATAAATTAACAGTAATCCATATGACACAATGAGACAGAGAGAGAGAGAGAGACAGAGACAGAGAGACAGAGAGAGAGACAGAGAGAGAGACAGAGAGAGAGAGAGATAGAGAGACAGAGAGAGAGACAGAGAGAGAGAGACAGAGAGAGAGAGAGAGAGAGAGAGAGACAGAGAGAGAGA